GTAACATGTTTATCCACACTCTGTCGCCGTCATTGTGACATGTTTATCTACATTCTGTCGCCGTCATTGTGACATGTTTTTAGAAGATTATATACTGTGTTTGTTTTAACGAATCTACTTTAAACAGGATCGTGGGAGGGATTGCTGTGTATATTTCTAACAATAAGATGTATCAGTGACTTGGTGAAGTGAAAGTAATTAACCAGAACATAATATATGTTGGTAAATTGAATATTTGGAGTTTGTATTGTTTTGATATACAAAACGAAGAAAATATTTCAAAATTTATATTCTGCTGCACACCAATTGCTCGTGATCTAACGTGGCGAAGCGTTCATGATATAACGAGACACTCGCGAGTGATCAGCCATATTTAAACGAATCGTTATTATACTTGTTTTTACTGTTATTATTATACTTAAGATTATACTTATTGTTGTATTGTACACGTACTAATACATCCCACTTCAACATAGATTTACGAACTTCATACAGTATAGTGAAACGTGACGTCATCACTAATTTTGCTTATAGAGTGCTGAAAATTGATAATTTTTTGGTGTGTATTTCTAGGTTCATGGGGGTATGCGTTCACGAGGGACAGCTACACGCCCTTACTGAGGTATGTACGGTTTTTCCGTTGTGTTTTTAAATTAGTGTTAGTTTTTCATAAATTAAAAAAAAGAACAGTAATCCAGATGGCGAGCTCAGTTTTGCCCAAATGCACCCCATTGACTATTGGTTTGTTAAAAATTGTGGACAGTGGTTAGGATCTTAGCCACTACCGTAAACCACGTGTTCAGTCTGGTTTGTGAATCCATATATTTAACGGGTACAACACAAAATGTTTCACACCCTGTGTTGATCTTGTATAAATATGTTTGCTGTGCGTAATCGTATAGAGTATAGGTGTAGCTGTCATGTTCGAGTTCGTGATTTTCAATTGAAGATGAATCTACCCGTAATTACACAGGTTCATGTATTTATGTTTCGATGTTTATCTATGTAAGTAAAACTCAGACTTTCAGATTTGTGTTGTTGTTTTTTCTTGATTTGTAGCTCAAGCTCATAGCCAAAACTCAAACTTATCAGTAGTTATGTTGCTTAGGTAATCTTGTTCGTCATTTCCCTGGAAATATTATATGTTGATCCTGCTCGTACTTCCTAGGTGGCGGTACTTCCCTTGGAGTATTGATATGTTGATCCTCCTTGTACGTTCCAGGTGGCGGTACTTCCCTTGGAGTATTATTGTGTTGATCTTGTTAATACGTCGTAGGTGGCGGCACTTCCCTTGGAATATTATTGTGTTGATCTTGTTAGTACGTCCTAGGTGGCGGTACTTCCCTTGGAGTATTATTGTGTTGATCTTTTTGGTACGTCCTAGGTGGCGATACTTACCATGGGGTATTGATATTGATCAGCTTCATAAGACATTAGTATTAAGCCTATTATATTTTTAAATACTACATTCTTGATCTAGGCCTTTAAGGATTTTCAAGAATAGTATTCCAATCACACTATATTTGTCATATTCATTTCCGACGACGCTTTTAGCTCAATCCAGAGCTCATCAGGCCGACTTTTATACAACAAACACAGTACTGGTCGGAACAATATTTATATAAACCATTTATTATAGCAACAGTTATGGTGAGTACACATTTTACAAGCCGGCGAAGAATGATTATAATTTATGTTTGTCATAAGACATTAGTGTTGTATTATATGGTGTGGTTGGAACAGAGTATATAATATACTCTTTTAATTCTTGAAAATCCACAAGAGACTAGATTAAAAATTTCGTGTTTAAAAATGTAATAGACTTAATACTAATGTCTTACGACAATTAGAAATGTATTGATCCTGTTGGTAGGCTCTAGAAATGGTGGTGGTTCTTAGGGAGGTTTCGTGTACTGGTCTTATTGATGCGCCCTGGAGAGATCGGTGTATTGATTTTACCCGTACTTCTGAAAAATAGGCTAGAGGCAGTTGTTTATTGGTTCCATGGAGAAATCGGTGTATTGACCTTACCCGTACTTCTGAAGGGTAGGCTAGAGGAAGTTGATTATTGTTTCCATGGAGAGATCGGTGTATTGACCCTACCCGTACTTCTGAAAAATAGACTAGAGGAAGTTGTTTATTGTTTCCATGGAGAGATCGGTGTACTGACCTTACCCGTACTTCTGAAGGGTAGGCTAGAAGAAGTTGATTATTGTTTCCATGGAGAGATCGGTGTATTGACCCTACCCGTACTTCTGAAAAATAGACTAGAGGAAGTTGTTTATTGTTTCCATGGAGAGATCGGTGTATTGACCTTACCCGTACTTCTGAAGGGTAGGCTAGAGGATGTTGTTTATTGTTTCCATGAAGGGATCGGTGTATTGACCTTACCCGTGCTTCTGAAAGGTAGACTAGATAACGCTACTTTCCTGTAGGTGTCAGTGTATTGAAACATGTTTGTATAATTTGTGGATTATATGGGTTGTGGTATACATAAGGGTTGAAGGTGTCCATGTAGATACATTAATTACTATTTGTTATTAGAAGTGTTAACCTTTCTTGGCCTCCTGTTTTCAGTGCTTAGCGTGTCAAACACGGAACTTGGCGGATTTTTCTGTATGATTAAGATCAACCAGAGCTTACAGAAACCTTGAATCCCGTTACCGCTCTATCCCGATACAGACAGAAATGATTACTCTAGCGTAAAAAGTCACGATTCCTTTTTGTTAACATTTCAAGGCTGGTTGATCTTAGAGTAGGTTAACGCACGTTTCTCATCATGCCAAGGTACATAATGAACTGGTTACAGAGGATAGATTTGGCATTCGGGCTGTCATCATTGTTATAGCTGGTGTGACAGTCAGGGATGTGTTCCTGTTGTTGTTTTCTTCAGGCGTTCTACAGTTAATAGTCTGTTTCTTTGAAGAATGTGTAGGAAACACAAATTTACATCTAATTATCTACAGATTAACGAAAAAAAGTCGAAATCTAAAGATCTTAGCAGAAACAATAACATTATGAACTGCCGAAGTTGTTATTTATAAGCGTCAGCGATACGTTGTCAGTAGTCTCAGAAACTAACGTCACTGAACAAATATACCGACTGAAATTGATAATTTGATATACAGGGATATGAAGATAAAAGAAAAAAAACCTTCAGTTTTGAGTCTTGTCCAAGGCCCACGCATGTTGTTTCACGGCAAAGTTTAAGAAATCGACATGTACATGACTAATTCAAACGATCTGAAGGAGTCACCATTGTTGTTTCTTATTATCTGTAAAAAATCCAGTATAGAAGCACATGAAACATTCATTGTTGTATTTCTACACAATCCAATAAAAGCTGGAAACAATGATTGTAGTTCATTATTGTATCTTTACACAATCTTATAGAAGCTTGAAACAGTCATTGTAGTTCATTATTGTATCTTTACACAATCCAATAGAAGCTTGAAACACTCATTGTAGTTCATTATTGTGTCTTTACACAATCTTATAGAAGCTTGAAACAGTCATTGCAGTTCATTATTGTATCTTTACACAATCCAATAGAAGCTTGAAACAATCATTGTAGTTCATTATTGTATCTTTACACAATCTTATAGAAGCTTGAAACAGTCATTGTAGTTCATTATTGTATCTTTACACAATCCAATAAAACTTGAAACAGAATTTCTCGTACTTTATATAGCACTATGGATACAATATGCACCAATTACATTTTGCACGAGACCAACTCGGGCTGTTATTGTGGATAGTGGATCAGTTTCAGGCGTTGCGAAAGGGAAGATGACTGTTGTGATGTTGAAGAATTAATAACCACGTTCAACAGCTAAACGACTGTTATTAGAATATGTGAAACCTTAAAACAAAACATGAAACCATTTAACTTGTGAAGTTCACCACGGGTGGTGAGGACTCGCTGAACCACAAACTGTCTGTGCATTTTCACAAATATACGTGCAATAAGAATGATAATAATAAAATATTTTTTTTGTTAAATGGACAACTATCACATAAACTATGCACAATTCGATATAATCGTCAAGGGCCCATAATGATTTATACGTGTACGTGTGATACTTGAAAGTGATTTTCAGATAGTAATCACTTGACAGTAATAATAGCATTCGGAGGCGTCTTTTTAGTATGTACACAGCTAGATGTTAGTGGGTTGTGGAAAAAATCATATGTGAACAAGTGGCGAAGAATCTGATCTGATATGTGATATTACCTTATGCTTTGTTGCCGCATCGTTCCTTATCAGTCACACCTACGTGTGATGTCGTCAGCTTCTCTTAGTGTTATATGTCATGTTTGTATGAAGAACTGCTTATCTGAATGGTGTTGTGGTTAGCACTTGGATTAGAGTCCTGTGTATAAAATAAAGTTATGTTACTGGAACATTCAACAAAGTTTCTTACAAGCTGAAGCCTTGATTTTTTTAAATGATATCATAGAATATTTGAAAGATTATTACCCACAGTTCTTCTGCTTGTTTTCCTACTATTATTATTCCATGATTTTTTTCTCTTTTTTTTCGGATTGTATCATAGTCTATAAGATTATCATCTACAGTCCTTGCAACAATGCTGTTTGTTGTGAAGAGAGAAAATTGGCTATACACTTTAAATAAATGTCCAGAGGTATAGCTTTTGAGTGGATTGTTTATTTTCTGTTTGACTTTATTATAACATTTCGACTACTGATATGGCCATCATCAGGTGACTATCGTTTATTGTGTGAAATCCTGCGCGAGCTATTTTGTTCCAATATAGAAAACTTATAAGGTGACACCTGTGTTTTGATTTAAATTAGGTTTTAAGTTCAGAACTAATTAATGCTTCTCTTATTTTTCTTCTATTAATGTTGTTCTCACTGTATAATATTTTAAAGTTGCTAACGTTAATTGGATGTTGATTGGTTGTGCTGGGTTTGTAAATGTGTGATGGATTATTGTTATGTTCTTTGATCCTAATGTTTGTTACGTCCAGTTTCGCCTGTGTAAGTGCTGTCGTATCGATCACATTAATATTTAAAGATACTTCTGTTGTTGAAGTTGTCAGAATAAACCTTCATTAGATAACCTTTGATTTTAGTGCTCAGTTTTTGAATAAAAATCTATGTACTGTTTATATTGTATTTTTTGATACATATTTCCAAATGTTTATGATGTTTTTGGTTACATAGCCATGATTCTCTTTCTTTGTTTCTGTTATTGAGTTTGTTTTTATACTTGACTAAGGTTCTAGTGACAATATGTTTAGGGAAGTGACATTTGTTGATATACGTATGAGATATTGATTCTAGTTCATGCTGTAGAAGTGACATTTGTTAATATACGTATAGGATAATGAACTAGAATCAATATCCCATACGTATATTAACAAATGCCACTTCTACAGCATGAACTAGAATCAACTATAGTATGAACTAGAATCAATATCCCATACGTATATTAACAAATGTCACTTCTACAGCATGAACTAGAATCAATATCCCATACGTATATTAACAAATGTCACTTCTACAGCATCCCATACGTATATTAACAAATGTCACTTAATTGATTCCAGTTCAT